TTTTTTTCAGGATGACTATGCCCTCTATAGTTTTCACTGAACCAGAAGAATTCAAAGGAATCAAGAGAGATAAAACAAAAGCAAAGACAGCAAAAGTAAAAAAATGAGGACCATATTATTAGTGTTTAAGAATTGTATCAATAATTTGCTTATTTTGTTATGTACTGATCCATTTAAAATAGTTAACTTTTTAATAAAATTAGAAATATTTTTCTTCCCAAAAACAATTTTTATCTCAGATTATTACTCAATAATTGCATATCACAAGCATTCGTTGAACTAGATTATGAATTTGTTTTGGTGTTGAAAAATATGATTTTCTTGTTAATGAATAAGTCAAGTTCATATTTTCATTATTTTATAGTAAAAGTAAGTGTGAAAAGTAAAGGAGTTGATTTCGCTGATTATTTTCTCATTATGTTAATGCCAAGGAAACGTACGATATTTTTTAATATGTGATATTTATCGTCAGAAGCATAATTTGATGGATCACCAATGCGTCTAGAAACTGTGATTTCTTTTTTGTCGTTAAGATTGCTAATTCCAGGTACTTTTTTTTGAAAGCAGTTTGCTACATACAGGTGTCCATCAATATCTATGTGTATCATCAATTATATTTAACATGAATGGTGAAAGTCTGGGTTCTAGTTGAAAGACAGATTCTGCAAAGATGGAAATGAATGCACTAGAAATGTTTTATCAAGCTGTTTGCTGAATTGTTAGTGAATGATGTCGATGTGTACTGACTGACGTTAAATCAGTATGTCTGAAGACAAAAAAGGTTTGACATAATCATCCACATTGTTTCATTATTATTTGGGAAGTGGTAGAAAAGTTAAGCATACATTTCGCATATTAGAAGCAGAATAATAAGTTCTCTGATTTCTGATTTCATAAATGAGCTTATTTCAGATTTGTTGGCTACAGATGAAGTTTCAGCAAAAAAAGATCATTCTGTAAACAAACTTTCTCATTGTTTAAGAGCGATATCAGCAGCTCGTTTACCTCGTATTGTACTTTTATCAGTTTTTGAATATTTAAGTCTCAGGGATTTAGCACAGTGTTCTCGTGTGTGTAAACACTGGTGGATTGTTTTACAACATCCGGTATTTTTCTGTTGCTTTTAGCTGAAGAACTTATTTTTGCATTGTGACCATAATTAATTATTGTTTCATGTCGATTTAATTGTTTTTTTAAAGGATAGCTTTGTTTGGGAACGCCTGGCACATTTAATAATCCCAGAAGAAGCTCTAAACGATCCTTATCTTTTATCAGAAACACCGTCTTTGAAAGATAAAATACGAGCTTTTTATTACGCTTGGAATCCAGAGGATTTATCTGCGTAAGATGCATTAGTTGACTACATTTTTGACTTTAAAACCATTCTTGAATTCATGAAGATACTTGTGGAATATCAAGATGCCATGATTTATGAATATTATCTTATCATATGTATCGTAGCATCTCCTTGATGCTGGGCGAACATGGAGCAACGAGTTATTTATATGTTTTGTCAAGTTATTCCTTATCCAATTTACTCCTTGTTTCAGCAATAATTATTTGCGAACCAATGGTTTTACAGTTCATCGAAATCCCGTCGCTCAAAGTACTGATGGCGTTAGAGGTAAAGAGACTGCTGGATCATTTATATGGCACTATTGATTTATTTCCAAAGTTTCATGATTTGGCTTAACTTCCAGGTAAAATAGGTGTGAATGGCGGTATTCATGCTTGGGAATTCAAGTGGGAAGGTCCGTTAGGAACAGTTGCTTGCATCGGTTTGGCGACAAAGTGTGTCTCATTCTTTCAAATTTGTTACCTAGAAATCTCATTAAATTAAAATTTAGTCTTGTATTCTTAGAAAAAATGCATTAGAGCACTTTGATTTTTTCAGCTTTTTAAACTGAAAAACCAGTTTTCATAACTGGTAATGTTTGCTGATCACGAATCTCAATCAACACTGGTCAATAAAATTTTTCAAGCTGGATTGAAGTGGCAAGTTTATTGTAAACCAATTTTATAGGCATGCTGCGCTGCACTGCCAAGGTTACGTTGCTTTACTAGGAAGTGATGATCAAAGCTGGGGATGGAATCTTGTAGACAATAATTTAATGCACAATGGTCTTCCAATCAGTCATTATCCGTATATTAATAATCCTCCTAAATATCAGGTCAGCAATAGCAGAAGATCCTGTTGGAATTTCGGTTAATATTATAAAAATTGCATTATATATATATGGAGGTTAGTTTTAATTTTCGCTGTATTGGTTCTAGCGCTGGATCTCATTCCGACAGTCTGGCAGTACTTGTCCCGCGCTCAGATTTGTTGTACTCATCGTTCTTGATTCGTCCTCGTGGAATCCATATCGACTGTCAAAGGAGATGCTTTCGTCGGAACTATCGATCGGATGTATGCCTCGACGTGGTCTGATATTAATCTCCTTCGCATAGCGTTTGTGGATATTTGTTACAATCCCATTTCTAGTCATCACATACGGGATTAATTTGGTTCTGCATTTCATCTCTGACGCAAGCTTATTAGCAAGTTGATTATATTTTCGCTTTTTCTCGGTCTCGACTGCTGTTAACATGTCCTGACTTGTGATGCCAACCGTAATCAGGATTGCTTCCCGTCGCTTTTTATCGTGTATCATGATATCCGATGATCCGCTTTTATTCTGATTGCAGTTCTTACTCGCGTATCGACTGTGATCTCGACATTCTCATTCGCGATGACCTCCTGAACAGAATGGCTTTGCAAGCGT